CCTGTATATAAATGACCTACCAGATCAGCTTGACTCAAATGTGAGGTTATTTGCCGATGACTGTCTATTGTATGTAGAGCTTTCTACACAGACCGACTCACAACTTCTCCAAAAAGACCTGAACACCCTGGAAGAATGGCAAAGCAAATGGCTCATGCAGTTTAATCCCGAAAAATGCTACATTATGCACATAACAAACAAACGAACACCACATGCAACTAGCTACCAGTTTTGTGGTCAGGCTTTAGCAACCACAAAAATCCATCCGTATCTGGGCGTCACGCTGACAAGCGGACTGAAGTGGGGTGCACATGTTAATAATATCACAACTAAGGCGAAACAGACATTGGGAGTGATTAAACGTAATCTGTGGGCATGTCCAACGAGAGTAAAATCACTTGCATACACGTCACTTGTAAGACCGAACCTAGAATACGCTGCGACAGTATGGGATCCATATACAAAGAAAGACAAAGACAAATTGGAAAGGGTACAGAATCAAGCTGCAAGATTCTGTATGAACAACTATGTAAGAGGTGCTAGTGTCACGGAAATGAAAAGAAACCTACAGTGGACCTCACTTGAAGACAGAAGAAAGATGTCTAGACTATGCATGATGTACAAAATGACTAATAAACTGGTGGATGTCCCAACTACTAAGTACCTAATACCAGCCCAGAAGAGAACAAGAAATAGCCACGCATTCAAGTACCAGAGTTATCAACCAAGGATTGAGGTGTTCAAGAATTCATTCTTTCCTAGAACTATCGCAGAGTGGAACTCACTGTCACCAGGTACAGTAGGGGCACTGTCAATAGATAGCTTTAAACAATGTCTAGAGCTAGAAGTTCAAGGGTTAGGTGTAACAAGTCGATCGGTGTAATATAGCCAGCTGCCGCCGCGCCGCGTGCCTGCGAAGCTGGTGTGTTACGCCGAAAGGCGGTTATACCGGCTATACAGATACAGATACAGATACAGATGTACTATATTCCTCCTATATTCTTGCATTTAAGCTAAATCACAAGAAAACCTGTTCCAGTTTGGAAGCAGAATGTTAAACTTATAGACAATTTCATAAAACAAAGATAATTTTGGCATTTATACATTGTATACCAAAAAGTACACATCCCTGCCTTGTCTGTAATATTTCGTTTTACGTTTTGGCTGAAGATATAACTGAGTCTACCCAACTAGCATGTGTCTATTATTAAGGCAAACCATGTGTTTAATGTGCATAAATACATGTATGTACTTTTTAAGTGTACTTGTCAATTTATCATGTGTAGAGAAACATGCAATTCAGCCTATGGCTGCTATGTGTTTTGATGAATAAACCTTTCATTCATTCATTCATTCATTCATGGGGGTAGCAGGTCATTATGGCTTCCCTATCTGTACCCAGCTGTAGGAATGTGGCCAATCCCCAGCCATGACTTCTTGTTCTGTTCTGTTGTTTTGTTCTGTTGTTTTTTTGTTCTTTTTTTTTTACTGCACCTGTTTTTTATTCTTGTTTGTTTGTTGTTTTTTTTTCTTACCACCACCACCAGTCACGCTGGGGTACGACCACTCTCCTAAGCACTAGGCCCCGCGAGGGGTGTTGCTTAGTACTGTATAGATGTAGATGTAGATTCATCATTCTATCAACCCTGCTGTGCCCACTTTAGGGAGGTGAAAGACCTGAAGCAGAGACTAGATCAGCAGAGAAAGGAGGAGGAGAGGGCTCTGGCCAAGAGATGTAAGGACAGGAACGAGCTGGCCAGGCTTAAGAGGGAGACGCAACAGAAACACATCCAGGTCGCAGTGCAGCACAGACAACAGGTCAGTTAGTTAGCTAGCTAGTTAGTTAGGTAGTTAGTTAGCTAGTTAGTTAGCTAGTCAGTTAGTTAGGTAGTTAGTTAGTTAGTTAGTTAGCTAGTCAGTTAGTTAGCTAGTTAGAGGGAGATGCAACAGAAACACATCCAGGTCGCAGTGCAGCACAGACAACAGGTCAGTTAGTTAGCTAGTTAGTTAGCTAGTCAGTTAGTTAGCTAGTTAGTTAGATAGCTAGTCAGTTAGTTAGCTAATTAGTTAGAGGGAGACATTGTATTAATAAAACTAGAAAGTCTAGTAATATGAAATGTAGTACAATGAAAGTAAATGAAATTCAGGCCATGTCAACCTAGGAAATGTAATAGAGCAGGGCCTGTCCTTGGTGCTGAACTGATTATCTGATATGATAAATAGGCAGTAGGTATCCCTTTCCTCTTTGAGGTCTTTGAATTGTAGTCTCTTTTTTACAACTATGTAACATATAAGCTATGGATGACTCCTAATGATATTTGGTTTGTGGGTGTGTCTTGATGAGACCTCAAAAAATTAGCTTTTAATTAAGAAATGACAGAAGAGCCTTCTTTGTCAAGATAGACCGTCATTGGGTGGAAATATAATCCAGGCAAATCAGGATCTTACTTGCATAATCAGTGGGACATGTACAATTCATAAAGGCTAACATCATTTGGCAAACAATAGTTTTACATGTATGTAACCAGAGTCTCTTTTTTCCTGATCCCAGTTGGATGAGATCCACTCCAACAGAACAGAGGAACTGAAGAAGAACCACAAGGAGATTGAAGAGGCCATCAGTAAGGAGGAGGAGAAGGTGAGGACTTTTTAGACATTTACCGAGATGTCGTGCACGCCACATGTTCTTGTTTCTGTAGTTCTACATTGTTCTCCTGATACAAAGTTAAAGGACTGAAAAGTGCAGAAAGAAAGTGACTTTGACACCGAAGCATTTATTTCATGATAGAAAACTGCATTGGCCATATCTGATTTATTTCAAAATTGTTTGAACTGGACCCTTTGAAACAAACCCATGTCATTTCTTGCCATACTTTCATGTCATATCCTGCAACACAAATTGTCACAAACCAAACTGACTATGGAGATGTCATGCCACTTATTCTTGTTTCAGTAGTTCTATCAGTGGCTTGCATTCACAGATGAAGTGTGCATTTATTTGGCAAATTTCTAGCTCTAACTTGATCTTTCCATCAATCCTTTGCAGGCCAACGCTGAGATAATGACGGAATATGAGAAGAAGTCTAAGGACCTGCCGGAGACGTGGCGGGCACTCCAGCAGGAGAGGGACTCCGCGTCCGGCTCTATCAACGGTCCCAGCACACCAACGGGCACAGGGACATCCCTGTGAAGGTCCTACAACTACAGACAAGTTCCTGTAGCTGTAAAGGTCCTGCAACTACGGATGCATCCTTGTAAAGGTCCTGCAACTCCTACAACTACAGATACATCCCTGTGAAGGTCCTACAACTACAGACAAGTTCCTGTAGCTGTAAAGGTCCTGGAACTACGGATGCATCCTTGTAAAGGTCCTACAACTACAGAATCTGATACATCCTTATGAAGGTCCTGCAACTGCAGACAAGTTCCTGTGAAGGGCCTTCAACTACAGATACATCCTTGTAAAGGTCCTCCCACTGATTACAGACATAGCTGCATCATCAGCTATGGGACTACTCCTGCGGCTTAAACTTCACGCAGTTGTTGACAACTGCATGATTGTGCGGACTTCATAGTACGAGACGGATCCTCCTCAGGCCACACCAATTTAATTTCTTGGTTAACGGATTTTTCTAGAAAAATAACGGAGCGGGCGGGCGAAAAATAGATAAAAACTAGAAAGGCCAATATTTGCTTTGGAGCAAATACAGCGATGGGTTCACCACATTTTACGACATGGCAGGGAAAGAATGAGAAACACAAGGGAAAACAATGATTTACATTGATATAACTATAATATGAAGTAACATACAACTAAAACAACAGTTGGATAGCTATTCCCTGCTTTATTGGTTAGGATTTTTAATTGCATAATGCAAACTGTTGATTTTCAAAAATAGAAAAAAAAACGTTCATGCCCCGCATTCCAATGCTGGAGCAGAAAAGCTTGAAATACCTACCAAAACACTTGAATAAAGACATACTGTCAGTATGGAAATGCTCTGTGCAGGTGTTAATCAAGTTAAATCCCAACAGCCAATCAGCAAGAAATGCTCTGTGCAGGTGGAAATGCTCTGTGCAGGTGTTAATCAAGTTAAATCCCAACAGCCAATCAGCAAGAAGTATAGAGGAAAGCTGCATGCCTACTGGTTGATGCCCTGCATTCCATTGTGATGACTCATGCCCAGACGTGGTAAACACGGCACACTAACACAGTAATACATTTGCTATAACACAGCCAAAAAACTCAAATAAAACCATTCTAAAAGCCTGTATCACAAAAATTTAAAAACGCCTAGGGGTATTTGCCCACTGTACCTCCATACCAAATTTCAGGACCTTAGGCCCTAAAATGAAGAAGCTGAATCCATTTAAAAAATGGCAGGAGAAGAAGAAGAAGAAGGAGAAGGAGAAGAAACATCAGAAAAAGCAATATGGGTTCACCACCACTTCGTGGTGTGGTGAACCCATAATAAAAACAGGCCTAAGCATCCTATTATTGCCCAAAATGGTTACGATAGGAGACATGAAGTCAACACACCAGGCTGGTTCAAAATTTAAACAATGAATTTTGAACTTTTAATGATACCACTGCATTGAAATATGGGATGACTGTAACAAGTAGCAAGAAAAGGACTGTTTTCAACTGTTCAGGGCAAAATATGAGCATCTTGCAGTTGATTCTGAATTTTTATTTTTATTTGCAAATCAGAAAAAAATGAAGCGGCGAATCCGTTAACCAAGAAATTAAATTGGTGTGGCCTCAGAGGTGCATTCAAGTGGATGGAAATTTACAATCGCTGCAGCCTCTGAGCTTGTGGAAAACCTGAACTGGCCAGCGGAAGTGTTGCTCTCTACAGTGCTTGTTCTCTCTCTAACTTTGTGATTGTTCAAAGAGTTCAAAGTTAAGGTGAATGTTACTGTTAGTTATCCCTCATATTATTAATTACTGCCTCTACTTTCTGAACAATGTCATGCTGGTACATTGACCACACTGGCAGTAATCAGTTACAGAGGAATCTTTCTCAGTTGAATGGTTTTAAGATGAAATCATGGCCTCAGACGTAGACTAGTGGAAATGCAGCTCGGTCAGCTATCAACATTACAAAGGAGAAGATTTTGACTGCGTTTAGTTGTGGAAAATGCCCCAGGATACTACCAGGAGATGTATGGGATCATACTTTTTTTGAAACCTGACAACTTTTCCATGCATGTCATGAGCAGATATTAGAATAGTGCAGTAGGTTAGTAGGTACCTATGAAGGGGTACAACACCCCGATGTGTCGACTACTGTATCTGTATCAGTATAGTCGGTATAACTGCCCTTCGGCATAACACGCCAGCTACTGAAAACAAAGTCTACTACAGAGGGCCTATTTTCTACTCCAGAAGAGTACAATGGTCCATTATATGCTGGTGTAATGTTGGGGTTTCTACCTAGATAAAGAGGGCTTGACACGTATGGGTCACCATCTGGGATTCGCTGTGGGTGAAATTTCTCCTAACCTTTTCATACTGTTGGTGCTACATACTAAGAAACTGATCAATCATACATGTAGTATGAAACCCTACAACATCATGAAATCAGACCATGAATTCTAAGAAGTTGTCTCTACAGATTTTCGTGGTGCATTTTCAGTACTTACTTGTACTTACTCCATGTTGTGCCAAGTGATCAGCTAATGTTCTTGCCGGTCATGTAGCCCTACATGTACTCTAGATTTCTAAGCTTGTCGGCAGAACGTACTGTGCCAGTGTGAGACCTGTAATGTGTTGTGCATAGCACTTCGTGAGAATGTCTTATTTAGGGGCATATTTGAGTAAATAAAGATGACATACAGCCTAAGATTTTCAATTGTTGTGTCGGAAAAAATTCTGACGCAGTGTTGACCAAACATGCAACGAAAACCGTTAAGAAATTAAGGTTTCGTGCAGGCGCAGTACGTTCTGCTGACGTGCTACATTTCTACATCATGCAGAGGAAGAAAAGAATGTAACAAACAAAGAAAATAACAAACTGAGCTTGTTTCTACTTTAGCTAGCTGTGACTGTGTCCTGTGAACATGTGATCTGTGGATGGTATATAGTATGGACACTAGACGTGCTCCAAGAGGCCATTTTAAGGAATTCTACAGTAAAAGCAACAGTCCAGTAACAGTGGATATTTTTATACTTATATATATTATATAGTCCTTTGACTTTCTATATGATAATGTAGCTAGTACAAATTGTTTGCATGTAGATTTTATCAGCTGTACAAATTAATGAAACTGAGAGAGAACAATTTTATGAAGCAGTCTGATTTTTGTATTTACTGTGCAATTTTGATGCTTTATTCTATAAGTGGTTTTAGATACTGGCTCTCATATATAAGGTTTCTGGCTAAATTTGCATTGTTGCTCCTTATACATACAGAATGTGTGCAATGCTTTCAGAAACTGTTATCTTAACTACACAGTGCTGCAGAAAAGATTGTAGTTTATTTTGTTCTAAAGTGTATTTAATTCGATTTCTAATTGCATGACTGACTGACTGTGTTCCCCCAGCTACCAAGCGTCGGTAACAAATTTCCGAAGTAATAACTGGTGTAAATATATGTCGAAGAAATCATGATAAAGTTTGGGAGGAGCTACATGTAGTCGTTATCGATAATATATTTGTGTCTGTCTGATGTGTCATGTAATGTAAGGAGTGTTTTATACTAAAAGTCTTAATGATATCTATCTCGCATGATTGTGGAAGTAAGTTTTACCGCAAGTAGTACAGAGAATCTTTTTATAATAGTACGAAGCTACTTATTGCTTTCATTGTACATTAAGTACAATGTGAAGCTCTGCATTTTCTTTTACGATTGTTACAGTACTACTGTATGTAGGTACGAAGCATCATGTACAATAATAAAAAAATAGGTTAGAACAAGATGTCGGGCATGAAAATTAAAGCATTTACTACCATTTGTATGGAAGTTGTAAGGAAGTTGTAACACAGTTGTAAAATTGTCCGGACAGAAAGTTGTAACACAGTTGTAAGATTGTCCTGACAATGTCAGCATGATCTGTTTGTGTTGTGAGGGTTTGTGTGGATGGCAGCTCTGTGCCATGGAGATAACACAGTATGTGTCATACGTCAAGCAAAGGTGGAAAATTCAGTAAACATGGCAAGTCTACTTATCGTACTGATGGTATGTCTTGGACTCGTCTTTTTGCATCTTTAAGACAAGTTAGCGAGGACCTTAGATAGTCTGAAAGAGTTTTTGAAGATACTGAGTTACTAACTGTAGCTTTTTGGTACCAATGTGCTGTGGAAGTGGCAAGAGCAGACATTTGAATTTGTAAGGAATACCTGGAAATGCTTTCCATGAAGGTAGCAAGGTGGTCTTGGGGTAAGGGTGGTTGACTCAGAATCTGAAGGTTTTGGGTTTGAATCCCCGGCAGGCCCCACTGCTGTGTCCTTGGGAAAGGCACTTAACACCTATTCTCTCACTTGACTCATCAGTTGGGCCACACCAATTTAATTTGTTGGTTCTTGTATTCGCCTCTTCATTTTTTCCTAATTTGCAAAAAAAAAAGATTTTGGTTCTCAATCAAGTCAAAAATGCTCAATGACATATTTTGCCCCTAACAGTTGAGGAAAGTCCTTTTCTTCCTAGTTGTTACAGTTTTTTCATCTATCGATGCAGTGGTTTGATTAAAACTTCAAAATTCATTGTTTAAATATTAACCCAGCCTTTTGTGTTGACTTAATAGCTCCTATCATAGCATTTGGAGCTATAATAGGATGCCTAGACCTGTTTTTATTTTTTTTTGCCCTGTCGCTTCATATTTTTTCTGAAAAAATCCGAGAACCAACAAATTAAATTATTGGTGTGGCCTTAGGTGAAAATGAGTACCTAGTTTAGGCTTGAGGCCCCATATTTGAGAAGAGCCAGACCTCAAGCATGTTAAAGATCCCACCGCACTTATCGAAAAGAGTAAGGGTCCTTCCTGGTGTGAGTGGTTCAAACCTTCACTCTGGTCTTACACTTTTTTTTTTACAAAACTGGTGTGTTCTGTATCTGTATCTGTATAGCCGGTATAACCGCCTTTCGGCGTAACACACCAGCTTCGCAGGCACGCGGCGCGGCAGCAGCTGGCTATATTACACCGATCGACTTGTTACACCTAACCCTTGAACTTCTAGCTCTAGACATTGTTTAAAGCTATCTATTGACAGTGCCCCTACTGTACTTGGTGACAGTGAGTTCCACTCTGCGATAGTTCTAGGAAAGAATGAATTCTTGAACACCTCAATCCTTGGTTGATAACTCTGGTACTTGAATGCGTGGCTCTTCTGAGCTGGTATTAGGTACTTAGTAGTTGGGACTTAGTGTTACCCCTAAAGGTTGTTTATTGGTAATGCAGAACAAAGAAACAAACAAACAAGGTTCTGCATTCAACAGTAAGACGTTATATGTATTGCAGTTGTCAGGATTTGATTTGATTTGATTTATAATTGAAATTGCAACACTGCAATACACGTGGGACAAAGGCAGCTGTTGCTGGTGTTGTGTCCCACAAATAGAAAGGAATACTGGACAGACAATACTCATTT